GGGATTCTGTGATTCTGTGATGTGAGGCCGGTCAGGTCGCAGCCTTGCAGGGCTGCGGTACCATGGCAGGGCTCCTCCGAGACTCTCCCCTGCAGCCCCAGGTGCAGTGTGTTTGCCCCCCCAGGCTGGCACAGTGCCCCACAGACAGCCCCTGCCCAGGTCTGATCGGCCTCCACTGTTGCAGGGACCCACACACTACAGAGGGGTTGCATGTCCCCAGCACGCAGTTATGTCCCCTGGGTACCCCATGGTACCTGTGACTTGAGCAGGCTCCTTGTGGCACTGGCTGCACTCACTGGCTGCGTCCCCATCAGAGCAGAGCTCCAGCCCCTCAGACACGAAGGAGGTGCTGGTGGCAGAGCAGGATGACTCGGAGGGTGGGCGGCTGCTGCCTGGGGACTCACAGCACTCCTGGAGCTTTGCCTCCAGGCTCTCGATCACCTTCTCCTTCTTCTGGAGCTCCCGGCTGAGCCTGCAGAAGTGGCCCATCACCATGGCTGGCAGGGCAGGGTGATTCCCCTATCCCACAGCCCTTCCTCACTGTGCTGTGCATGCTTCAGCATGACACCCCATCCGTGCTGCAAGGCTACCTGGAGCCATGGAGTGCCCAACCCAAGCCTGGGACTCCCCCCCACTAGAGGAGAGGCACCCACAGCACATCCACCTGGAGTAGTGACCCCAAGGGGACCCCAGACCCTCACCCCAAAAGCAGTAATAGCCCCCAGGGTGCCCACATAGAGCAGGTCTCCCTAGACCTCTCTGAAAACAGGTACCTCAATGCCAGAAGTTCGTGGCTGGTTTTATCCTCCCCATCTTGTCGATCTCCTGGAAAACCAAGCCAGAGAGGAGCCAGTCAGTGTCCCCATGCCCCAGCAGGTGGCCCACACTGCACAAGATGTCCAAATGGTTCCAGCCCTTCACAGAATCCTACCAAAGCATCTCTTCCCATCCTGCCATGCCCTAGAATGCACACCCAAAGGTACTTACTGGTGCCCAGCTTATTACTGAGCCTCTCAGCCAGCTGCTTGCCCTGAGCCAGCTGCTCCCGAAAGCCCTGGCCCAGATAGTAGTCAATGTCGGTGCCACGGAGAAGCTCCTCGAAGGAGCGCAGGGAATCACGCAGATGCTGTGCCAGGCTGCAGCTCACCCCACGGCCCTCCCGCAGCGTCTGCCGCAGGTGGGAGAGCTCCCGAGCCTGCGCTTGGATCAGCGAGTCGTACTTCCTAGGAGGGACCAGTAATTGGAGGGTCCATGGGGCCACCTGACACCCCTCAGAGAGCACGACAGAGATGGGGTGCCATGGGGGAGTCTGTGCACCATCCACCCCTGGGGGCTCTACCTCATCATGCAAATGCTCCAGGAGCCCGGCTCCAGGGAAAGCATACAAGAGGCCACCACCCTTGGGCAATCCCTGGAAACCCCCATAGCCCACCCCCATCCGGCCTTGATTCCACAATCATACCCTGGCCAGGTGGCTGATTGAAGCTCCTTGGGCAAAAATCCTCCAGGCTTGGTTGCTGGTAGCTGTGCTTCGAGGAGGGCAACACGGTGCACCAGGTGCTGCAGGTCGCGGTGTGCCCGCAGGGCAGGTGGGCAGAGTGTGCTGTGGCCATCTGACTGCCAGCCCTCATCCTCATCAGTGAGGCTGTGGGCTGGGGAGGCCAGGGCCATAGGACCCGACAGAGGCCACTCAGCACCCGACGTGTAGCCACTGGTAACGGAGATGGAGCGGGCACGACGCTGTAGGCTCTGGATCACCTTGTTGGCATTGAGGAGCTGTGCCTTGAGGTCCTGGATGTGCTGTTGCAGAGCCACCACATCTGCTGGAGCCACGACTTTCCGAGCAGCCTTGCCCACCCTGGGCATCCCTGGCTGGCATGGGGACCCCAGCTCCTCGCCCAGGCTGGGCTCACTGAACACATCTGGCTCCTCACACTCTGCAGAGAGAACAGGACATGGCATCACTTCTCCACGCTGGGTGGACAAGGCACAGGGATCCCCAGAGCCGTGGCTCTCCTTACCGGGGCTGGTGGTCTCATCTCGGTCGGCCTCAGTCTCACTTCGTCCGCATGTCTCATAGCCCAGGTCCTGGAAGTCCACCTGCACTTGCTTGCTGAGCTGCTGGGCATGGGGTTCACCTGCCGGGCAGCCCCATCAGCTCAGGGTCCCCCCCCCACCAAGCAGATTCTCCACTTCTGCCCCGCATACAGTGCCATGCACAGAGCAAGCCAGACTCAGCACAGACCCCCATACCAGCCAGAGTTTTAACTCACGGAGCAGCACGTAGTACTTCTCCAGCTGCTTGGCTTGTGCCCGCACCGTGGCCTCCGAGGCGGCAAGCTTGTCCTGCAGCTCCTGGCACTGCCTTTGGCCCTGCGCCACCTGGGACCGCAGCTCTGCGCCCAATCCTGGCCAGCTCCCTCCTGGGGCTGTGCCCTTCACCTGCCAAAGCAGAAATGGACTGTGAGGACCCCACCTCCATCCCCACCTCCATCCTGGTCCCCTGTGCCTAGGACACTTACATGGCTCCCGTCCCCTCCACCTGGGGCACCAGGGCAGGGTCTCTTGGGCACGTCACCCTGGGATTCTGCCTCCAGTGCTGGGCGTTTTGTGGGCACAGCTCCCCTCTCTGCTGGGACCCCCTGCCCGTCCCCACTGCCGCCAGCCAGGCGGTCCCCAAGGGCACTGCGGCTCTTCCGTTGCAGCCTGCGGGGCTCAGGGGCTGGGGGGATGCCCAGCCCAGCCTCCTCCTGCTCCCCGCTCTCCAGCAACGATGTAGCTTCACCCATCCTCTCCTTCAGCTCCGCATTCTCCAGGTACAAACTCAGCATCGCCTTCCTGGGAGCACAAGGCACTGTGAAGGGCAGGCAGTGGCCAGGATACAGGGTACCCCCTCAAGCCCCTGCCATCCTCAGGCTCCAGCACCCCAGGGCTCTTGCCTGATGTGGGAGACAGAGGAGAAGCCAGCTTCCTCCAGCTGTGCCTTCAGCTCCTTCAGCTCCTCTTCCGCCCGCAGCTTCCGCTCTGGCACAGTTCGTGCCGTGTTCTCCGCTAGGGCTGTCTCAGCACCCCCAATTTCCTCTGGGGTGCAAGGGCTGCTCTATAGGGACAAATGCAGAGGGTGACGGGGATGTTTCCACAGGGGCTGGGTCACAGCCTGGAAGAGGTGCAGCGCCCGACTCTGCCACCCCTGTTCCTGGTGTCACGCTGCCCTGACTCACGTGGTGGGTTGCTGCACTGTGTGCTGCCTCCTCCTCGATGCTGTCAATGAAGTTAGTGCTGGCATCATCAGCATTTGTCCCCGTGGTCTGACCTAGGGGACAGTATAGCACTATGAAGAGCTCAGAGCAGTGACAACGGTGCCACTACCTCTGTTTTCTCCTTCCTAGCGATGTCCATGGACACCATGGGCAGTCTCAGAACACATGCCTGCCCTTGCACGTCTCTCTGCTGTCCCTTTGCCCTGCCACCTTCTCTGCATGTTGGAGCTCCAACCCAGTACCTCGTGCTGTCTCTGCACCAAGGGAGGGGACAGCCCCAGCTGCCCACAGCCCCAGAGATGGCAGCCCAGCAATGGCACCTGCCCCATCCCCATCTCTGCCTTCACACCACCTCATGCTTGCTATCCCAACCAATAGCCATTCTGCTGCCATGAGAGGCACTGGGCTCTTTCTAAGTCCTGCGCTGGCCTTGCAGAGCTGCAGCACAGCTCAAGGGACACTTGTGTCCCATGCCACAGAGCACAGGGGCTGGAGCCCACTCTGCCCCAGAGGCGAGCTGGGGGCATGCCCTTCTGCTTGCACAGAGCTCTGCTCCTGGCCCCTTGGTGCACAGCCCAGAGCAAGGGCTTGCATCCCTTGTCTGGGCAGCCTTCCTCCCACCTAGCTGCAGGGCCTTGCCTGCTCTGCTTAGCCTCACCCTGCCTGGGCTGGGACATGGCCGTACCTCCACTCCCTCTTCCCCATAGGGAAAGCAGAGCTCGGAGAAGACCCAAGACCTGCCCCTGGGGCTGTGCAAGGCCAGGTTTCACAGCTACCTGTGCCCCACAGGAGATGCAGCTGCTTTGCCCATGGCCAAACCCAGCACCATCAGATCTGGAGCTCCCAGGCAAGGCTGAACACAAAGCAGTGGAACACAGAAATCCTGGTAGGGGGAGAGAGGCCAAACATTGCTGGTGAGGGAGAAGCCAGCAGGGAAGCATACGGCTCCTGGGAGGGAAAGCTGAGGACCAGCCTGGAGCACACCTTGCAGCAGGGCAGGCAGCTGCACAGCACACTGCACACATAGATGGTGGCACACTCAGAAGATCCACTCGTGACAAGCAACTGCCAGGAGATCACAAAAATCAGGGATGCTTCACTGCCCAGCTTGGGCAGACATCAGCCTGCATGGTGGAGCCTGATCACTGAAGCAGCCGTGCCCCAGGGAACAAAGGCAGCCATCACAGAGAAGCGCTGTTCTGGGACCAAAATGCTTCAAGGCAGCTGGAGGGGCCAGCAGCACCCTAGTGAAGAAGCAGCTCCTGTGGGCAGCATTCAGCACAGCCAAAGCACAGCCCTGTGAGCCCCAAGGACACAACCTGCCAGATGACAAACCATTGAGGGCTACAGCTCAATGCCTGCAGTGTCCCACACGGGGAGGGGATGCAGACCCCCAGCTGCAGGCTTTGTGGTGGGGCTGAGCCACACACGCAGGGCTCTCAAGTTGGGTCATTGTGGCTGAGAGGCCAAGGCAGGGTTGCTCACAGCCAGCTGAGCTGCTCTGGGGGCATGGGAGAACCAGTGTACCCCATTTCTCACTATCCCCCACAGCTCTGCACAGCTCCCAGTGCTCCAGGACTAGGGCAAAAAAAGGGAGCACAAATCTCAAGGAAAAAAAGGTAAAAAACCAAAAAAAACCCCAAGGGAATAAGAGGAAGCTGGTGCTGGGGGAGCAGAGAAGCGTGTGTGTAGGGCAGACTGTACCCAGGCTGCTGTTCAGGCACTTGAACCCTCACAGCAGGAGCACACCAGGGCACAAATTCAAAGGGACAGGGGCTGCTCAGCTCTCTGTGTATTACCAGCAAAGGAGACAAGAGATGCAACCCCAGCACTATTTTTCACAGACACCTCTGTCTTTCACACCCTGTCTGAAGGCAGAGAATTAGTTGCATGCTCAAAAATTGCATGTGGCTTTAAAATTGTGCATGGCTCACAGGCACAGAAAACCCAAGTGCATTGGCTGTGCTGAAGTCTTCATACTGCTGGGAACAAGGGAAGGGAAGCAACATTCCCAGGGAAATCAAGAGTGGGAGAGTCCTATGAGACAGCACAAAGCACTGCACAGTTTGACAGAGGGTGCTCTCGGACATGGGATGCTCAGGCTGGTCCTCCTGTGGGGCAGGGATGTGCACAGCCAGGGATATCAGGGATGAAAGGAGGCCCTAAAGAACTAAGCGGAAAAGCAGGGACACCTCAGTCTAGGATCATGCTCCCCTATGGGGCACTTTATAGCAGTGGTGCTAGCAGAGGCCAGGAACAGATCTGCAGCAAAACACACACAAGAAGAGATGAGAGCTGCCGGAGCACCAGCCAAGACTTCCCTAATGCCATGCCAATGAGTCTGTGCTGGGTCCTGGGCTCCATGGTACCCAAGGGACCAGGGAGCCAGCCAGGCATCAGAGCCAGGATGGAGGGAGGAAGGTGGAAAGGTAAGGACAGGGAGACAAAAGGTTCCTACAAAGTGAGAGGCAGAAGGAGAAAGAGAAGATGGTGCTACACAGAGAAGTGAGAGGAAGGGAATGAGATGAAACACAAGAAAGGAAAAGCTAACCAAGTACCAGAGCTGCCCAGCAGTCACCAGCTGTGCCCCTTCAGGCCACATGAACTGTTGAACTCACCACACAGCTACGTGTGGACTCAGAGGAGTAGTGCTGACCTGCTGTGTGTGAAGGGAGAGCTCTGCTGCCTCCTATCCCCATCTGAGGCAGGGAAGAGAAGACCTCAGCATGGGTGCAAGGCACAGGATAGGTCATGCCCCATGAAGCAGTCACAAGATGTGCAGCAGAGCAGACACAGGTCCAGGTGGTGCAGCCCAGCAAGAGAGAGCTCTTCTGCTCCACCCACTCCTAGTTCAGCTCCCCCAAAAGCAGATGCTCAGAGGTACAAGATTTGCTCCTGACACCTTGGGAAGTGATTGAGTATCAAACACGTGATCCCCAGCCCCACTGTGCATGGGAAGTGCTGGCCATTGGAAAGCTGCTGCTATTGTTTTCCAGCTCTCACACCAGCCCCAGCACTCCCAGAGGATGTGAAAGATGCCCTAGAAAAGGTATGCAGTGGTGCTAAGTGCGACTGTGCCCAACGAAGCAGAAACAGGGCCCTGCCCATTGCCCAAGGGGCGTGTGGAGCCTGTGAGTGAGATGTGCACATACAATGAAGGGAGCAGACCCAGCCCAGACCCTGGGAGCAGGGAGAGGTCTCAGTCACCCCAAACCATCTGTCAGAAAAAGAGGAGGAAGCTCTTCCTTGAATGCACTCACAAGCCAGGCTGGGACAAATTACAATTAGGAAAAAAAAAATTAAAAAGAAAAAAAAATCATTAAATGATTGCTGGAGCAGAATTTGGGAATTTGGTTTAAGCATAAAATGAATCGTTGGTTCTGCACTCAGACTTGTGTAAGGAAATGCCACCAGGTTTTGCAGCCCATCTCAAATTCTCTGGCTCTGGTACCCACTTTCTCATATATCCCTTCTCCTTTTGGGCCAGCTGCCATCAACCCAAGAAGGGGATGCCACTGGGTAAGAAAAATGCTACGGTAATACAAAAATCTCACACTCATGCACTTGGGAGATGATAGAGAACATCTGGTGTTTCCTTCAGAGAAAGGGAATCTTTATTTGGCCCATGGGGGTGGGAGGAGAAGGGAAATGGAAGGAAATCAACTAAAATGGAATGATTTGAATGTGCAAATACATCAGTGGCCACCAGGGTGGGTCAGACAGGAACATAACACAAGACACAGGTGGATTGCACTGATTGCCATTTCCAAAGCAGCTCAAAAATAAAACAAAAAGACCTGCACCAGTTCTACCGTACCATTACTAAGTACCAAAGCAACCCTCCCAGAGTCAGTGAGACAGGCTCGCTCAGTTAGTGAACCGTTTCCATGGCAGGCGGGCGAGCGGCAGTGTCAGAAGGCATGCTGGGGTAGGATTCTCACACTCTCCTGTTCCCCACCTCCTGTGGCGCCCTGCGTCTCCAGCCTACTCAAACGCTCCAAGCTTCTTCCAAGAGCTTCTTCCAGCTGTCCTCGGAGTTCCTGGACCCCCTCCAGCTCCACCTGCAGAGTGTGGTCTCTCGCAGCGCTAAGCGGACACGCCACACAAAAGGGAAAAGGGTTAGACAGGCTGCAGCAAGCACATACCAAATTGGCCTCTCCATTCAGGACTGCCACTCACTTCAGGCACAGGCCCTGCATGCTCTCCAGGCAGCTCAGCCACCGCCTGCTCACCTCTAAACCTCCCCAGAGCACAGCCATCCCCAAAAAAGGCTCCAGCCCATGGCAGGGGACTTCTAGTCACAGCTGTTCTTCAGTACTTACCCAAGCACTCCACTTATGTGCTCTCTTGCTATCAGGTAGCTCAAATATCCCAGAGGCTGCAGCCCCATGAAGGGCAGGGGATTAGTGCAGAGGACAAAGAATGCAGGCCATAGCACACAGTGGGACAACCGCCTGGATAAGCACCTAGATAGATCCTTATCACTCAACAGTTGGTTGGGAATTTGACAGCAGCCTCTGAAAGGTGGCCAAGTGTGGGTGGGAAGCTGAGCTGGGGAACAGAGATGGAAATCCCAGGGCTTGAACAAGAGGTGGCCATAGGGGGAATTTACGTAGCATTTAAAGCTGGTCACTGCAGCCTCTTCAAGGGACAAAGGCAGCCTAAATCATGCACTCCCAAAGCTGCATTTGTCCGACTCTTTGCCTAGACTCTTTCCTGCTG